ACAGAATTTTTTTTTTTAAACAGGACCAAATTATTATTTTAATGTCAGTACAGAATTTGAATGATGTAATTAATAAAAGAGACTGTGTTTAATGAAGTTCGATTTTAAAAGACAGGTAATAATTACTAGTGTATATTAATTTTAAAATATGTAATTTAAAATATATTTGAATGATAAATTCAATTTAAATATTTTAGTTCAATGGTGCTGCTACTGAAATATGTCAATTGAAAAAATATTTCATGAAGAGAATACATAAGTTTTCCTTAAATTTGTATGAAGCGATAATTAATGTTAAACAATATAAAATTATTAAAATTGCTTTATTAATATTATTCATATTCGATGCAATTTCAATTACTCGGTAGTATTGTACATGAATATTATTCGTATCTGTAATAATATATGCTGTTTAATTTTAAGAGTCGTGTTAAATCGTTATGTATCAAAACACTGAACAATATGATTTTAATTATTTGTCTCGACTCGAATAATTTACTTTTATACTGTACAATGTTTTTCTAATAAGTATAAAACAATAATTATAAAATGTGTTTGTACAAAATGTACCTACATGCAAAATGTTGTTTGTTTATGTTATGATAGTATAAAGAGTATAACGTTTAAAATTAGGAAGTGTATGTACAATAAACAATACATATTAAATTCAAGAGATTTATCATAATAGTTATTAAGATTCACCCAATTCCATGTGTAAAATTTCTTTCGCTTTTTGTTAATTTTAATATTGCTTAGAATATTACTTTAGATGGTAAATATGTATGGGTTTGTTATGCATTTACATATACTAATATAATTTGGTCAATCAACCATATCAGTTTGTTTATTCAGCTACCTAATGAAAACAAATTTATTTTTGAAGATTTTATTTAATTATGAAAAATATTATAATTTAAAAACGATTTTAAGTAATGATTAATTTGTGTAATTATAATAGTAGGTACTGTGATTTTTTTTTTTTAAATGATAAAATAAATATGCATATTTTGAATAACGTTTAGAAAAATATATTTTAATATAAAATAAATACCTTTAGATTTAAATCATAAATGAAACAATTTGTTAAAATAAATTTTAAATAAAAATTATGTTAAAAACAAAATTACACTGGAAAAACTAAAGCTGCATTAAGTAAAATGTTTGCAAATTTTTTTTTTTTTGAATATTACTGAACATTTTCAAAAATGATATATTATATAGTTTGTGTTCACTTTAATTGTTAAATTTCATATTATGACTTAACTCTTTGACCATATTGTTTATACTTAAATTTTAAACGATTTAAAAAACAAAAAATTCCTCAACTTTGTAAAACAAATAACTCAAGATCTAAAGTTACATAAAAAGTTTATAATTACTTGTTCTTATTTCCCATTATACTTTTGTAACGCTGACATATATGAGTTACTTACAAGTTTATGACATCAATTAAATGAATAAAATATTATCTAAATTCTACCGATTTTTGTTGAATTAAAATTATTCTTTTGATATTATTACTTATATTGTAAAAACAATATGAAATATTTCATATTTATAAGATACAAAATAAGTTAATGATAATAAATTAACGATTAATTATACTATAGAGTTATAACTTTTATCTGATAATTGAAATATTGTTAACATCCAATGATTATTATATGCATCAATACCATTTGATAAGTAATATCACAGTAAAAATATTACCTTGTTAAAATATCAAAAATATAATATATATTATAACCAAAATAACGAAAAACGATATTAAAAATATGAAAAAGAAGGGTTAGTAGTATGGAACATTGACTGTGAAAACACAAAAACAATAATAATAAAAATGATTATTAATAAACTCATTTCATAATGAAATATTGAATTACTTCTTTAGGTAAACTATTTTGAGCGTATTTTATTATTGGAATGGACATAAAAAAAGACATATATTAAAGATTAACCCTAATGCCTTAAACCTAATTGATATGTGGAATTAAAATAATAGCATTAAAATAACTATTTCAGAAAGTTGTGTTAGAACACGTGGTGCAATTTCAAAGGAAAATAAGTGTGCTGAAATGAGTGAACAATATTTGTCTCATATATACACACACACATATATATATATTATATACAGATAATAATATATTACCAGAAGTGTCCTAGATGTGAATGCGAATACACACTATGCACGTCCTCCAAATATTGTACTCGAGTACATTATAAGAAATATCTACAGTTGTGGCTTAGCGTTCACGAGGTGTTACAAAAAATTACAAGAGTTATTTGAGAAATATACTTTAAGTATTAATACATACACCCTTATTTAAACCCAAAATTCGCATAAAAATATAGAGAAACACTTAATTTAGTGTTGTATGTCTGATTTTCCTGTAGGTACCAATACTGAGCATTAAAAACTGTTATAAAATAGTTATTATGATTAATGAAAAAATATAATTCATATATAACACGAGTAGGAATGTTTCGGTATTTGCAAAAACTATTTAAAATAATACTGTCCAAATAAATACAGTTATTTTTTGGGTCCATTTAATAAGTGTATATTAAATTAGTTTTGTTTATAATATACACGCGTTTAAAATTTAATACAAATATTGTATTTTAACATTTTGTACATTCAAGCGATATCAGTCAAAATTATATTATTTACTAGTATCATATAGATATAGTTATAATTCTTGGTATATCGTATTTACCAAAATTATGCTTTTGATGTATTAATATCATCAGGCGTTATGGGTTTAATAAAATATAATATTTTGTAATTATTTATAAAAAAAATAAACGTTCCTAGTTTTTTATTTTATAAAATACAAATTAACATAGTATATTAAGGTTATATTATTACTTATCATTAAGTTAGTATTTGAACATGAAAAGTTCTTTGTTTTAAATAATTTTAATACATAATCAATTATATGATTCAAATTTTAATTGTTTATTGGTAGTTATATTTAACACACGTTTGAATGAGAAACCAACTTCAAGATAAATAAATAAAAGATACACTGAAAATTGACTTTGATCAATTTCGTGTATAGCATACCTAATGGACATAATAACGCTAATTTATATTTTTATAACAAATTTAAGACGTACACTAAACAAAAAAATATTTAATGACTGTATAACGTTAGCGCCGTCTATGTAATTTCACAGAAACTCATTATATATACCACATATTGATAATTCGATTTATTTTTTCGAATGTTACATAATTACTTAAAACAGTGTGATTCTAATATACGTATTGTCTGATAAAGACACATTAACAAATATCCAGTTCAGAAATTCAACATTAGAATATTAAAAATGATTATTTAATAATAATATTATCATTTAAATAATTTTCTATCAAGTGATTATTTTTTATATCAAAACTAAAAACCCGACTATCTACATACCCATACGACACGTTATTGGCATTCATTATGAATCACATCATCCACCTAAGGATAACATTCAATCTCTCTAGAATATGCTAAAAAAAACAAGTATCCTTCATGAGCCAAATGTGGCTTAATACTTCATATCACTTTCAAATAACTACTTATTGGAAATTATTAAAAAATACTGCTATAATATGAAGAAAAAAAATCTAGAATTTTGTAAAATTAATAATATGCAAAACTCCCTTGATGAATTATCTCTCTGATTCTTAAGATAGAAACTTACCTTAAGCTTACTCTTAAATTATAATAAAAGTGAATAAAATATATCTAAATTTAAAATAATATAAAAATATAACCTTATCATAAATTATCAAAAAATAAATCCAATGGAACTGCAAAGATAACTTGATGCAATACTTAAGGGTACAAATAAACGAAAAACGAATCTGGAAAATACTCATTTATTATTAACTAAACCATGGTACACAAGGATTAAAACCCTACACTGTGTTTTAAATTATAGCTCAACCTTGCAGATGAAATATTATTTGCTGCTACATACGGAGATAATAAGCCGCTTCTAACTTACATATACCTAACACGGAACGACGTATCTCCTAAAAAAAAATTTAAATTCTCTAAAATAAACATACCCGAGATTAACAATAAAAGGCCCTTGGCTCAAGCAAAATAAACAGTAACATATTAACATGGGATCACCCTACCTATTAACACAGATGTTTAATTCAGTCAAAAGCCACCATAATTATCTTAATAAAATCATAGGGATTTTTAGATGACAACGACCAATTAGACAAATAATTAATTTCTTTTATTATCCAATATATTTTAATGTATAACGTATAACTATAGAAAATTATGCAGTATTTTAATAATAAAAAATATTAATTATGTTGACGCGATTAATAAATTGAAAATATATCTAAGTAATTTAAGTGTATAAAATATATTCCGTGAGCCACAATGATATTATATAATATAAATCTTAAAAACAAATAATTGATAACAACTATTGATATATTTTCAGACATAGATATACAAGATGAATCGAATTCATTTAAAAAAAATATTTTTTTTTTAAATGTTATTTTAAATAATTGCATGTAAAATTTCAAAACAATATTTTGTTAAGATTAATATATACAAACCAATATTTTACTCACATTCATATTGCATTATTTGTTAGTTTTTAGTATATTTAATTAAATTCAAATATATAATTAAAATAATCAAAAAATAACTAACATTTTTATTTTTTACGTTTAACGATTAATTGAATATAAAATAAATTTCTTGTCTGAAATATAATATACAAAAGAACAGTACGTATTTTAGTATATTTTATGTGTATAACTCGTATAAGTATATAGAAATTATATAAAAATCATGAGTTCCATATTTAATATTTAAAATGTAACACATTTTATTTACGTTATCTTTATAGTTGTAGTAAAAACCGATTTAAGTTGACTTGTAAAATATTTGTACACATACCAATATTGGTAGTTGAGTTCTATTGAGAAAAGTACAGCGTTAAAAATTACAACTAGAGTGATTAATACTTACGAGTTTTGACTACCGTTGTTATTGAGCAGAGCCTGATATTTATGGACCCGTTATATTGCAAGCGTTGTTTGGAGCAAAATATACCTGGAACATTTCGTTTTTTTGGAAGGTTAAACTGTACTCAACAACAAATATTTCACTAAAACACTTTTTTTTTCCTTTAAGACAAAACCGTTAAACAATTAACTATGAACACAACTTAAATACATGTTTGTTTCAGAATTGTAATATTATTCATCAAATTTGACCTATATTTGTTTTGTAATCATAAGAAAACATAGCACGGCTTCAGGATTATTAAAATGACAGAAATTTAGTTTTAAATATATATTGTTTAGATATTTAAGTTCAAAAAAATATATGAATAATATATATGTTAGATATTAAATTAAATTATAATATAAATATATATTTATTATAATATATTAAATCAATATTTATTTTAGATTTAACACTTACGAAAAATTATGGAACGAGAAAATTATTAATGATTAGTTCTCACTTTAACATAGCATATGGGTAAATAAACATTGTGCCACATAAATTTATGCTTGTACGACTATTCATAAAATATAACGAATACATATTTATAATAGGCAATTAAATAAAATGTTACAAAATACGTTTCGTTTTAATAACGTATTTTTCTTTTTTTTTTTTAATCAAATAAACTGTACTATTGTACACTAGAGTATTTTTTATAAGGTAAACGTGCATCATACATAGTATTAATTACTGAATTTAATTGAAATAAATATTTGTACTGTGTTAAATGTTTTATTTACACATTATAATGTTTAATCAAATAACTGATTAAATTAAATCGAATGATAATACATACTATATTATTATGAACAAAATACGATTGCTAAAATATAAATTTATAATGAATTTAAAAAAAAAAACGCAGTTATAATAACTTTATTTATGATTGATTATTATTTATTATTATTAAATAGTGAAAAGCATTGATATGACTATGTACGCAGTCGAATTAAAATAATTTCAATAAAATGCAATCGTAACTCGTATTATAGGTATAATAATACTATGCTGAGCGTTTTGAAAAACCGAACCTTTTAAAGGATTTCATGGTATTTTATAAATATATGTTATATATAGGTATACAAAGTACTGAATCGTATACCAAATATTTTCATCGCCACAATATGATCAATATCAAAGTAAATTGTGCTTCGCAATTCAGATACGTATTTAGAGTTTTGACATCGTAGATAAAGTTTTGATACTACCCTTATAACATCCACATCTTCAAATCGAGTAAACTGATATAATAATATACAAAATGATCACATTTATTCTCGTTATAAAATAATTGTCATGTTTAGGAACTTAAGAAAAATAAATGTACTTAAAATGAAAGATGTTTTTTTTTATAATTAATGTTCTAAAAGCTTTATAATATAGTTGTATTCTTTTTTCAGCCTTTTAAAATAAACATATTTTCTTCTTTTTTTTTTTTTTTTATAAGATTAATAAAAAATATATCAAATTTTATCATCTAAATTTCAAAACAAATAATGATTCAATTTATCAACATAACTCTTGTAAAAAAAATTTCAGTGAATCTCAAATGATATGGAAGAAACAAGCGTGAAGGGTAACTTTCAGTTGGTAATAAAATATTATCAACGTTATTAAATGATAATTTAAACTATAGTATAAAAAGTAATACGTGGTTAAAACATTATATTACACAATTACACAAATGTGAAAATGGGTAAATTAATAATTAATTAAATATATTTACATATCTACACAGTTATTTAAGAGTATTACCAATCGTACGATGAACATGAAGACATATTATATGATTGAAAACAAGAGATATCTGATAACCATCCTCTTTATTTTCTTGGCAATAGCTATACACAAAAGCCACTAATGCCAGTCAATTTTAACCTAGTCCTGTGATATAATATCAAATTACAATCATATTATAATAATTATATAAAATAATATTTTATCAAGTATGATTGTAACATTTAAATTAAATTTAATAAATAAAAATATTGATTTTTGTATAAAATTATAATACGATAAGCATTACAATAATATACTAGATTTTCTATAAATGATACAATATATTTTAACATTTTTTTTATACTAATAATTATACTTAAACAATATTTATAAAAAAATGATTTATAGTAAGTTTTTTATATGTGACATGTATGAGTTAAGTATAATTATATCCAATCATAATTTAACATGTACTTTATAGTATAAACTATTGGTATATACAATATTTGAAATTCAAAAAAATTGAATTACATTTTTGGATCTAATTCGAATAAAAGTAGTGTACTAGTGTTACTACTATAAACTAACTAGTGATTAGAATTTAAATAGTTATGCTATTTAAATGTTTTTTTAAATATAGAGAACAACAGCATTGCGGTGATGTGGATAATGTAAAATATTATTATCTTCTAATATAATTAATTTTACATATTTTCTAATGTATTTAATTGTATACGTTTCGATAACAATACATACTCTATTTTCAAACAGCCAACGCGTATTTGCGAGCGCGTACGAAAAATGGATAAAGCAAATCGATGTATAGAGTCTCCAAATTGAATGTTCTAAAATTTAGTGTTACTCGTATTTCTAAAAGTTTTAGGCGTTTTACTATAATAATTATTGTTATCGCAACGTGTATCATCACTATGTGGGTTCTACTACGCCTCTACAGGTGTTTTGGACTCAACGAGGTTAATGTATGACAAGCGAATTAAAAGTTATCTATATAATATTATAATGACGCGTGAATATCCTATATTATTATTGTTTGTACCTAGCCACAGGCCACGATATCTGATAGACATTATACACAGCCGGGTAAACATTATTATTCGGATTCGGCGTCCAATTTTCATTAAACGGAATAATATAATATTCCATCAGCAGTAATTTATTTGTGTTTTGAATATATTACGCATAATGTAAATAGTATAAATAATATGTGCCTCCCACGTTAAGTAAGCTAAACAAATTTTTACTATTGTTGGCCATCATAATATAACTTTATCTAAACATAACTATTATGATTTGAATTTCGTTGTATACCAAGACGTTGTATTTCTAATTATGACGTATATTTTATCAACTGTCGGAAACAATATTTTCGTCGATTCCGAGTGTCGTTAGGCCCGATAGGTGTATCAATCGGTATTCACGGGAAAGCAATATTTTAGGCTTATTAAATTTCGATTTAATGATTATTAAAATAGATTATTTGTGTTTGTGGTATAACTTCGTTTGCCGTCCCGGCGTTTTGAAATAAATTACTGTTGTGTTGGAGCAATAATTGGTTTCTTTAAATGAGAGTAATGGAAGTTTGCCAATTGGCTTGACATTGATTATTTTGTTGAAATAATAATGAATATAAACCGACTTTGCCGGCGATGCTGTAATAAATGCCTGGTGGCCGGACTGGTTTGATGTATATACGGCACGCATACACGATCAATCAAACCAAATCAATTACGCCGGAGTGCGATATAATTCGGGCCAAACGGCACACTCGACTGGCACCGCCGGGGTTGTGCAACACCATTCGCCGTGCTGCAAAGGGTGGTGTGATGAGAGGCGCATGCACAAAAGTCGGGATCCGTATCGGACTGATCAGACTAATACTTTTTGAAATCGGCAGAAAAAATAAATTAATATAAAACCAGCAACGACACTCGAACCTCATCGCCGACGCATTGGAGCCGAGAGAATTTAAAATTTTAACTTTCCGTGCAGCAGTAGCAGAATACATCGTGGAATATTGTAAAACGATATCAAAATGTGATTTATACGCGCCGAGTCAACAGCCGTATGGGAAGTTTGTTGAAATACACGATCCGTACGCCCACGTTCAGAGCGACGAATTAAAACGCTATTCATATTATAACATCATCACAACCAACGAAAACTGATGGAATATTATTAATTGCACGTTTGTAGATGAACAATAATTTTAATTATTTAATATTGATTCCGCATGAAAATCAAACATGGAAGGGGAATCGCATGATCTGAAACGATTCTCTGGACATGGTTTCAATAAATTACAAATCATAGTGTAACATCCCACTCACTTACGAGCATAGTTTATGATATAATTTTATATATTGTAATTTATAGTATATACTTTAACATTATATTATATCAACATATTGAGGCGTAAAAAAACTATTGACACTATTCGTGTTATTGCAGCCCTACGACATATCGTGATATTATAATCCATTATTTATTGGGTCCTCATATCACATACCGATATTAGTCAAATATTATTCAATATGTGTTTCAACAAATCGTTTTTTTGTTTTCTCATTATAATGCATAATAAAAATAAAAAAGTTTCGCGTGACAAAAAAATTAAAATAAAATGTGATATAATCGTTATAAGTATTTTCTGATCTTTTCAAATCAAATCGGAAATACTCCGATACGTTTTTCTAGATAGTTTAAATTTTAATCTACTTTCGGTGTAATTTAAAATATTTTATTATTTGTGTTCTCAAATTCAAATATATATAGTATATAAATTGTATTAACTTATAAAGATTGTTTATTGATGCTTTATAACAAAATTGTAAAAATTTTCTAATTCGAAACGAGAAACCCATTTATTTTGCAACGATTTGTTTTTTTTTTTTTTAAAGTTTATATGTAAACACTATTTTGAGTAACAAAAAAATTATACATATTATTTTTCTACTTTGACATGGTTGGTAGTTTAGAAAGATTATTTATAGTATTTATTAGTAGTTTTCATGAAAATTGTACTAAATTCAACAAAATGTACAATAAATTTAATACATTTAAGTATTATTAGTTATGGTCGTATGGTCGTATCTTATATTGTGTAGAATAATGTAAGTGCACTACTATTTTATACTTGATAATAGACAATTATTCAAAAACTGTATTGGTTTTTACTTACAAGGCATAAATTATGAAATAAAAATAAAATATAATTTATTTATGTAAAACTATACAATTTTCAACCTTGAATTCTTAAATTTGGATAAACATTTACAAAATAAACCACAACGTTTATCATA